TTGTAGAGTAAAAGTCGTTTATAGATTATACAAGTACGAACATTCACAACCTAACACCCACCTCAAAATACTTTATAGTGCACCTATAACACTATAACACATGTCAATATCTAGTAGCGCACACCTAGAAAGGAAGTACGCGACGACGGTGTATCTACATATTTATGCGATTCATCCAAGTCGTATTTATCCTGTGTAATTTTACGAACATTTTTCCATCGTCCCTACACCGTAAAATATTACTTCTCAATCTTTTTACCAGGACGAACTCCATTTTTTGAATATTACATTTTTAATCGAGCTCTAAATATATTTTCCCTATATACTTTCATAGGTTGGAAAATTAATAGAAAATTCTAGAATTACTATTCTTAAGAAACATATACTATTGCATTGTTTTAATTAAACAAATCCGAAAACATATCAAGTGTAGTTTTGAACTAGATTCGTCCACGATTTAATGTTTTTATTTTTTTTTTTTTATAAATGCTGTTTTTCGTTTTAAATTATATTTAAGCTAAGGTAATATAATATTATCGTATTATGTCACACTGTACTATTTAGGAATTATTTTTATTAGTTTATTAATCATGTGATATTTGCAAATGCTCGTATACGATATCAATATATTGATTTGAACCAAATGTTGGGGACACTAAACGAATGAAGGGCTGCGGAGGAAAACGTCACCATCCAGCATAAATAAGTGCTTAGTCTGAAGTATTGTTACATTTGTTAAGTACGACCTGTTTAGAATTAAAAATTCGTTAGGTATGTACGAAGATAACAAAATCGTGATTTAATTGACTTTGTGTATAATTATAATTAAAAGTTAAGATGCACACATTATTCTACGAACGTTTCAGACTAAGCATAAATCTGTAAAGATACGTATGGTAGTTTTTTCGGCAAGTCGAATTGGACATTACTGGCAAAAAAAAAAAAATCGAAAATGACCACAAAAGAAACAACAAAGTTTTTGAGTTTCCAAGCGTCTATTTATAGTATTACACAGTCCGGAATCGAAAGTTTTAAAGGGCATCGCATTCGATTTAACCGTACGTAGAGGGCACCGAAGTCCAGTCCAACGGTCGGTAACTGGTTAGTCAACAGGATCGTAAACATATTATTACCTCAATTCAATACATTAGTTCAATTTTAAATTAGTTCAACGATCGTATCGCATTTATTGCTTCGGGTGCATCGCGCATATATGAACGGTGAATGGAATACATCCAAGTCGCTCGTCGTCGCCCGAACCGATCATTAACATATCGGGTGGTGCGCGCGACAAAACTGCAACCGATGTTTGGTGCAGCAGAGATTATGCGCTTTTATGTAATTCCACAGCCAAGTGTTACGTTGAATGTCGCCAAACCGTTTTGAAAACGGTCCCGCGCTGCGGTGTACAAAACATCCGATAATAATTTGTGTTTCGATATTCGGATCGTCACAGCCGCGATCGACACCGTCGCGATGCACGTTATTCTTTTGAGCGTATTTTCGAATAATTGTACGCGTATCCGATTGCAGTGTTTTTAAACGCTAGAGTCACGTTGAACGTGCACACGATCGTTATGACCTTATTCGGTTTCTATGAATAAGAAATCAATGTACTTATTGATTAAAATAAAAATATATCGAACGCGAACGGTGTTGCAACGACGTCACTTTTTGAATTTTTAACATGATTATTTCAAGTCGATAATAATTTAACGAACTAGAGATTACTCTGATGTGGTCAAAGTTCGTTACACATACTGTTTCGGTGATAATTAAATATAATAATATATTATTATATAATAGTATGCGATATGTTAACGTAATTATACGTTAATACACTTCCATTACTTCTAGTACCCATCATCACGAAAACTAAAACAATAATAACAAATGTAAATATTAAAATTGTACAGACCTCATTTTTCTCTGATTTAAGAAAAATCGCTATGTACATTTACTCTTAAGCGTATGGGAGTTTAGTTTTTGTAATTCGTAAGAAACATAATGTTTATCGGGTGTATAGAATCAAGCGACGACTTTTGAACGAAATGATTTTTTTCCAGCTACAATGTTTCCATAAAGTTTTTGATTTTGTGATCTTACAAATTTTTTACAGCGACTTAGCCCGACCCGTAATTCAAACGAAACATACTATTCGTTATTCAAAGATTAGAATAATCGAAAATTAATTTTTTTCAATGATTTGGTATTGATTCCAATATTTATTCGTTAAACATATAAATAAACGCAATTAAAACAATAATCATGTTTGAGGGGTACTTTTATAATCGATAGTGCGTACAACGTGTACATAAAAACGTAACCACGCGTTCAATTTGCGCGCGGGAAGAGTAAGCATCGCGAGTGTGTGAAGATTTTAAATAACTCTTGTTTTCAATACGGATAAATTTCAATAACATAATACTTCGTGTAAGGTTTCGTATTATTTTCATTAAGTTTTAGTATAACAGTGTGCGTTTCCAAGATGTGGGTTAGTAAAAAGAGAAAAACATAATAAATGTTTAAATGTGTGAACGAAACGAGATGAATACCGTACTCAACTTATACGCAAAAGCTGTTCGAGAAAAAAGAAATTGTTTTCTCGGGAATTAACGAACCTTAAAAAAATCAGTGTTCAGGATTCAGTCGTGATTCTTTGATGTTGAGTGTTTGTCGTTTCGTTGCTTTACAGCTTTCAATCGACCAATCATTTTGGTGGTGTGCAATCGTTCAGTGTTTATAAAACTTCGACCCCCAAATCTTCCCCTACATAACGTATATTTTATAATAACACCTAAGAAGTTCTCATTTTAAATTTCTGTGGTGCGACCTAAATAGCTACGCTAACTATCGCGACCATGGCCACGAACTTGGTGCACGGAGAGGGACATAAAATCGATGGTAGATCGATTATTACAGCGGTCGCATTATTTCGAACCAACAGTATATATTCATATTCATCGCACACACGAAAGACGATTTCGGACAAAGGTCTACAATATGATGTGTTTACGTGAAATGCCATTTATTTAATAAACAATTTTAAATCAATTGTACCTATTTAGAGACATTTTAAAATGTGAATATTGAAATAATTTTCATGTTTCAAACCCTAAATTAGCTATTAATTATTCATGGATTGATCTTTTAAAAAAACCACAACACTGTTGCAAAGCAGTTTCGAATTCGTCGAAATGTTTATTCTCAACGTACATATCTCGAGAGTTGAAATGAAAAAAAAAAATACAGCACAGCTCTCTACCGGTTTGATATTTACCATCCAGAAACATTTTACCGTCTATTTTATATTTATTTATAAAAACGTTTACAAATAAAACAGTATTAAAATTTATTGTTTTATTCTATAATGAACACGGTTTTAAAACACTCAAGTAATTATTATGACACATCGAGTTGCCGTTGGTCGGATGCGGCAGTGATCCAATAAAATCGTGTGGCATTACAGCAATAATCAAACGCAAAAATTTAAATTTATGTGTATTTTTTTTTCTTCGTTCAAAACAGGTGTAACTTGTATTCACAAAAACAAAGTAATAATTACGCCGTAATTTAAATTTTAGATGTTCATTATAAAGTATGTGTCCGCGGTAATGCGTTTTAATTTTGACGTACGATGACCAATCAGTGATAATTTCTGGGAAATCGTGCGACTTATATTTTTTTCTACGTGACATTAATCAGGATGCGTTTTATGTTTTATTAATATTGTTATAAGATCACTATATTTTATTATACAATCATATTAATAACGATCAAATCAAATGCGCTTTCAATCAACGTTACATTCAATTAATTTTCAATGGAATACACAAAAATCATCTATAGTATAATTACAGTAAAACAATGCGTAAGTGAATTGTTTACATTTTATAAGTGAAAACCGTACATTTTTGACATTTGATATTTTATTAACTACTCGTATTCAGTCTTAATAATACACACGAGACGATGTTTCATCAGAATCGACAACCGTGTACGAAACTAATTTACACGACCGGTAAACATTTATGGGTTGTTAAAAACAAAGTTTTCCACGTAAGTTTTTTCTGAATTTGACGCAAATAATTTAATGGCGTGTAACAACGTATATTATATATATATAAAATGATCGCCTGAAATTTTTAAGGACACAAATTGTTGTTTACGAATAATATAAAAACAACAACAACAACATTTTTCTCTTACGGTGAATTTAAAACGGAGTTTTCCTCTTCGCCCGACGAATCGATCGTAATATTTAATGGTCGACCGCCGTAGGTGGTCGAACATCGCACGTTACAGAATTCTACAGTAGTAAACAACAAGCCGTGTCGGCCGAGTGCGCGCGAGATCGAAATATCAAACGCGTAAATAGGCGCTTATTTATTTATTTATTCTTTTTTTCGGTTTATGGGACGATTAAAATTCTTCAAAACGTAAATAATCCGCTTCTTAATCCGTGGTCGCCGCAATACGGGGTGTTCGGGAGGGAGGGAGGTAGGTTTGAAATATCAGGAACAAAATATAAACTATTCCACCTACAAATGTATAACTAATAAATAAATTAAAATAAAATCATCAGTCATTTAAAAGTTTCCCGTGGTCCGGAAATCGACGTATACAATACGATTATATGATGTTTATGAATATTTTAAATTTTTTCAAAACCCACCCCCGACATTTTTTCCTGCGTTCGCCCCGGCTCCTACGACTCGTCCGCCCATCATGTAAATCACGTGCCCGCGAAGGATCGTTGGTCGACGAGGTTCGCTCGGCGAAATCCTTCGCACCTTTACGGACGGCGCAATAACGTCGGATCCCGTTCGGTCGACGCGTCGCGCCCCTCTCCCGACGGATTGGAAACCCGTAACGTACGGCGCTACGTACATGGGTGTGCTGCCGTCGATAAGAACGGACATCAACAAGTCCCGGGTCCGGTGACGATAACGCGGTGCGCCGGGGGAAAAAACGTTATAAATACCGTCCACCAACGGCCGTTAGCGTTCAATTTACTCGCGCACGTCCTCCGCACACGCCGCGTCGATCCTGCACCAGAAAAATCCAACAACAATCTCCGGTCAATATGGAAAGCTACTTTGTCGGCAAAAAGTTCATCGTCACCGGTGCCAACGCGGGTAAGTCCGACCGACCGTCTAGTTCCTCTGGACGTCCGAATTTAATATTGCTTCTATTAATAATATTAATATTATTAGTATCGTCGTTATTTCCATTATTTTTCGTTTCGTATTCATCTCACGATGCGCTTGAAACACAACGCGTTGCACTTGTTCTGACCGTTTTGATTTATTTACATTTTTTTTTTTTTGTTTGCGTTCGAATGAAATACGACATTTGGTGAATCAAATCGTTTTGATGCGTTTCTAGTTTTTTAACGTACGTCGGATGATGGTTTACATTTTGACATTTGGTTGAGCTAAGACGAATTTAATCGGTTTTAAGAATCATCGTGCGTGCGTCAGTGATGTGTTTAGGACTTTTTTTTTATATTTTTTGTTATAATGTAGCTCCATCGAGATAAACAAAATAAGATTTAAATATTATTTACTTTGGTCACACTTATAAGGATTTTAAAAATTCTCAAATGACAAAATAATATAATTGAAAGTCATTACAAAAGAAAAAAAAACAGGCTACATTCTCCACATACCACCGTGAAAATACGTTACTATGCTTATTTAAAATCAGTTAATTTGTACACTAGCGATTAAAGAAAGTGGAAAATTAATTTTAACCTTGACCTTAGAAATATATTTCACAGTGGAAAATTATTTGAACAGACATTACATTATACGATATTGATTGAATAATTATAAACCATATTTAACTGATATTATTATGTTTAACATGTAAGATAGGGTGACCATACGTCCTGTTTTTTACAGGATTGTCTTTTATTTCAGCAATTTGTCCTGTTGTCCTGATAAACTTCTTTCAGGATACTTTTTGTCCTGTTCTTTTGATCAAACGAAACTAATTTGAAAACGAAACTTACGAAAGTAATGAATAATGATTATAATTATAATCTTGTGATTGTCTGAATTTATCAGTATGAGCAGAATGTCTACGAGTTATCGGAGCTTATCGGTGTTATCGGATCGGAGAAAAATCGATTTCTCGTTGTTACAATTAGATCCAGTGGCGCATTTAAGGGGGGACGAAAGGGGCAAATGCCCCGGACGCCAAATTTTTGGGAGCGGCAAAATATTCTAACTTTTATTATTGATGTGTTCATGATTTATTTAATTTTCACACCTTTTTCGGTATTGTTAAGCATCTAATAAGAAATTAAAAAAATTATACTATACCTAGTCACCTAGGTAATAGCGAAATAGCAAAATAGGTATATATTACATTTATTATTCGATAAGATATTATATTTTCGTTCAATGTTTATAATAAAGACTCGGGTTCACAGAACGCAGTATTTACTTTAAGGCACATTTAAAAAGTTTACAAAAAGAGTAAAATTTTACTTGAAAGTGTTCAATGTATGTTAGCATTTATAAAAGAAAATAATTGAGTTGAAATATATCCTTATATTGATATTGGTCTAAGGATGCTACTATGTATGTACACCTTCAAGTAATCGTTCAATGGAAAAATCATTTTCCATATTAAAAAGGGTCAACATTTATTTAAGATGAACAACGGGAGAAAATCGTCTTAATTAATTAACAACCCTTAAAATTAAAGCTGATTTAGCGAAAACTATTAATTTTAATGATATTATTAGAAGATGACGTAACCAATACTATTAATATTATATTATATTGTATTATAAAAATTATTATTATTACTATCTATTATTATTACATATAACATAAACTTAAACTTATTACCATGAACTAATATCATTATATTATTACTATCATCAATTTAAATATAAAGGTTAGATTAAATCAATGATATTATTGAACATTTTTTTTCTCAAAAGTTAAAAAAAAAATTATAAGCTATCGATTATTTTATTATATATAATTAATAATAAATATAATATATTTAATCTAATAAAAAACCATGTATTGTTGATCATTGTGCATTTAATAAGTGTTAATTCCGTTTTCTTTATTTAATATATATATATATAAGAAAGGAATATTCACTTAGAAAAAAAAAATTAGGTTAACGTTAGGATATGTATTACTATAAAATTATCTAATACAATATCGTAAAACAACTGATTTATAATTTCTTTCATAAAATTAATTTTTTTATTGCTTGACTTATTTATTTATTTATATATATATATATATATATATATTTTGTAAGGGGGAAGGCGGAAAAATTATTTTTCCCCAGGGCGCGTATATTATAAATGCGTCACTGATTAGATCGGTAATAATCATAAAACAACATTTTAAAAATTTTTCGTTTATAGAATTTCATATATTTCATTTAGAACATCCACAATTATTAAAACTAATTATTTCATCGGAAAAATATGAAAAATAAAATAGTGAAAACATATCTGAACAATCGTCATCAAAATGAATTAATAAGTTTTTTAAAAAAGTAAAGTACATGAATTTAATCTTATACAGTGTTATTAAAAATTATGTTTTTTCACAAAAATAAATATAAATAAATAATATTAATAATATAAATCATTAAAAATATATATATGTATGTATATATATATTTATATATATATATGTTAAATATTTTTTTTTTATATATGATGATCCTAATGTAAGACTAATTATTTTATTTTGTTTTAATATTCGCGTACTGAATTTCAATTCAAAGCTTGATGAAGCGGAAACAATTTTACATTTCCATTGGATTTTTTTCGAAATTTAAATAATAAACATGTTGCGCATATACCGAGATAAATAATTGTATGGGATTATCGTCGTAATTTTAATTTGTTTACTTAGTCACATTAACCAGATAATAAAATAATGAAACAATCGAATTGTTATTAATAGCTAGTTCGTGCGATGGAACGTTGTTCATTATCCCCGGTTAATTAGAAATTGTAATTGATTGCGTGCAAGATACCCTACGAGAACTGATGACTAACGTCTCCGTGAACGGGAAACAAATAATTATGATATCACGTTTTAATTGCCCGACCGTTCGGTCGTCGAAACAGAACACATTCCGTGTAATTACACCGATTTCGATCGAATAAATAATAACTCCAAGCATTGACAATTTCCAAACAGGAATCGGCGAAGTAATCACCGAACGTCTGGTGAAACTGGGAGCCCATGTGTTCGCCGTCGGACGTGATAAGTCCAGATTGCCACCTGCAGGACCCAATTTGACTCCGGTGTGCGCTGACGTAGGTGAATGGGAATCTTACGATATCATCAAGGCCTTGGGACCCGTCCACGGTTTGGTGAACAACGCCGGTGTAGCGTTTATCGAATCTTTCTTAGACATGACGCAAGAAGGATGGGATAAGTAAGTTTAAATTAAAATTTTTTCACTCCTGTTTAGTTTGATCGTCGATCGTCTTCCTAGCACATTTAATCGTATTACTACCCGACGACGAAGTGTATTTATTTGAAAGTTTTTTCGTCAGCAAATCACGTTTTAAGAACTAATATTAGAATAAGTGTTAAACATTTTTATTTTTATTTTTATTTTATCGAAACGTGACGCACATCGGAAAAAAATGTACTTAAACGTCGGGTTAAATAATTTACATTTAATTTGTTTTACCCAATTATAATATTCAATATTTTGTTGCTTTTCAAAAATATTCTACCATGAACCGTAAAAAATTATGTGTTAGTCCAAGAAATGGTGATTTGGTTTTTCTCTAGATGTAGTATTTTCTATAAAATGTTTCGATTGATTTTGTGCAGGACCTTGAACATCAACTCCAGAGGAGTTGCCAGGATCAGTCAGGCCGTGGCCAAGAACATGATCGCCGCTGGAATCAAAGGTTCTATCGTCAACGTGTCGTCTACCATTTCTGAAGTACGTACAGAAAGATTATATCGTATTATGTGTGCGCTGGCGCACTTGTTTTTAATCATATATTGTTTGAAAATCACTAACCATTTACGAACCATAATAATATTAACATTAATTACTATTGTGGACGCCATCAATATAGATTACGTGAAAAATAGATATCATCTAACATCGACCTCATTGTACAGTTGAATTAATAGCCCGTAATCGAGGTACACTTTTTCGTATGTTATAAATATCCAACGTGTTGTTAGTGAAATACGTGAATTTCATTTCCTTAAAATCGAGTGTTAACAAATGTTTTCTGGGTTTATTAGTATTAAGCAGCTCACACGGCTAACCTCCATGATTAGTTGAAGTATTTTATCTTTATTAATTGATCACGGGATTATGGAACGTACGTGGTCATTATTATTTTATTATTTTTTTCGTTAATCCTGAGTGCTATAAAATTGTATTGAAAACAATCATTTTGTTATGAAAGTGCGTTACTCCTAAGATGGCGATAAATCATAATGTTTGGTTTAAACTATATTAGTTTTAAAGGTTTTTTTTTTAACTGGGTATGAATACAGTGATTTTTTGTAATACTCGTATTGTGTTTAATAAGCTTTGCTCTATACAGCTAGGTTTATTTTTTCAAAAATATACAATATAATAATTAAAAGTTTGGAAACCATAGTACTTCGAGAACCGTTGAATGCAAGTATGACTTGGGTTGGTTGAAATGGTTTGAATTTTGGAGACTTCGAGTACTAATGGATTATAATCCAAATATTATTTGTTCGTCTTCGATTAAACTCGTTAAACTAATATGCACGAAACGGTTTATCTAATCAAAACAATAATTTTCAACACCAAAGCATATTTTCTTCCGTAAAACATGTGTCACAGATGTTCAAAAATAATTTCTCTCAAAAACCGCAGGAGTTGTCGACTTAAAATCGAACGCCATAAATCCGAAGACCTGTCTGTTGCTCGTAAACATTGATCTGATCTCCACACAAATTATAATATGATATTTCGTCGTCAATCATTTAGACTGGTGTTCATAATGACTATCGTGTTTGACCGTTGTTTTTTATTTATGTTTTCGTTACAGCGAGCCATTCCGGACCATACTTCGTATTGTGCATCCAAAGGTGCCGTCAACCAAGTAACCAGGGTCATGAGTATCGAATTGGGACCGCACGGTATCCGTACCAACAACGTAAACCCGACCGTGGTCATGACTAAAATGGGCGCCAAAGCATGGTCCGACCCGGCCAAATCCAACCCGATTTTGAACAGGATCCCGTTGGGACGATTCGCAGGTAAACGATTTGCATCGGTATTACATTTGTATAATTTTAACCCACGAAGCTCGTGAAGCGAATTCGTTTTCATGTTATTTTGAATTCCGAGTTATCCATGACAATAGTTAAAAAAAAAAAAAAAGAAGAACATTAATTATTGTAACATATTCAGATAGTGCTCTTCTTAATTCAATAGGTATAGTAGGTAAACCTAGTTTTTGTTTTACTTTTTGTATAAAGGATTATTAGTCCTTGTATAATTTACCATCGTTTCTAATACCGTTAATATCATTACACTCATTAACGTCGAATGCATAGACGATCACATTAATTTTTTACTAGGGCACCTGTAGGTGTTTTGTTCTCACACATCTTAACCAAATGTTTATTCTTAATATGTTTACTTGTAGAGTGCAATGACGTCGCCAACGTTACGCTATTCTTGCTCAGCGATTACGCGTCGTACGTGAACGGAGTCTCGATTCCAGTTGACGGTGGATTTTTAACCAGTTAAATTAATGGATTTACCTAGGAGTTTCGGCGATTTGAATTTTATGAAGAAAAAAAAAATTTGCATTATTTTTACGAATTATAATGAATATTTTAAAACTTAGATTATTTTAGTCGGTAATTTTCATCGTATTCATGTACTATGGGTACGAGCATCTAAGACTTCTTATTATAAAACATACTCGTAACGCTCATATAATTTATAGTTATTGTACAATGTTTTCAAATATAATTTCATTGTTTTAATTTCAAGCACTTGATATTTACATCCTTAATGGTTAACGGTTCGTTTTGCAATCGTTATTTTATTTGATTTTATTTACATACATGGCGAGTTGCTGCCCAACGCACAGTATTGAAATAGATGTTATTAATTTATGATTGCGACGGAACAGTACTTTCGGTACAAACTAGGGGTCGTTTATTACATGGTTATTATAGTACACGTGTATAAAATCTATTAAGTTTCGTGTTTTTAATACACGGATATTTAATACCCGTTACTCGTTACCCGTGTATTTAATACCTATTCGTATTAGCACTACAAACACTCGGTTCGAGAGCTAATAAATTCCTCGTATTATCTAAATCGATGAAAAACGGATTGTATACATTTCATTATGTATGTATAGTAAAAGAACACCATTGGTGTTGGGTATATGTCATTTTAAGTAGTATTAAAACAATGTATCATTGCTGATATTTTTTAATTTAAATAATTGATACTAGCAAGAAAATTATTTAAATATATAATTCTAGACAGTGAAATAGAATTTTTAGTTATCAACAGTCAAAATTATTAAGAAATTTATAATTTTTTGTGATATAATTTGTAATTCCAATGCAAATGTTTTAAAAATAGCTTATAATCAAAATTATATTATAAATAATTTAGATTTCGTTGCATAATTAATATTCTAATTAATATTAATAAATATCTATTAAATATCTAATAAATATCTAATTAATATTAATATTTATGTATAGACTATATTTTACTTAACAGTATAATAACAAAATAAATCACGGTGGGTTATGTCAGTTTTTCTTCACGGTAACTTTAATTTACATAACTAAATATATCCCCTATTAATTTCATTAATGTTCAAACCAAGACTCGGAACTTTAGGCATTTGCATATTTGTTGAAGAAGTGCATATTTAAATTCTCGTTGGACACAATTTCGATCCATATTATACTGATTTCAAATATAAAAATGTTTGTTGCATAATTTTGTATATTTCGTTATTTTTGTAGGAATTTGCGTATTTTAGGTTTCAAAATTTTTATGTGCATATTTCATAGATTTAACGGAACAATTTTTTTTTTTTTTTTAAATCTATTGTTTAACAAAAAATATTAGATAGACGACAACCAAAATTGTAAATTTTATATCGTTTGACAATATACATAAATTAATCTATTTTAGTATAGCGTCCAATGCATTAACAACAATATTATAGTATCTGTTGTACTGAGAAATCGTAAAAGTGATCGCCGACGCCGACCGACCCTAATATATTTTTAAATATAACATGGCAATATTATTGTACCATAATACAAAGTGATCGTTATCAGTATTTATACATTGAAAAAAATATTGATAAGTAAAAATATAGTCGAAATAACTTTGCTTGAACCAAGTTTTTTCCATAAAAATGCAGAGAGTTATTTACAGCAAAAATCGAATTGTACGCAAAAATGTTTATTTAAACATATTAAATTCTACTTCTGATTTTGAGTCCGATTCACACTGGTATGACCGGCATCACAATGTGTTATTTTTTATGTAATTGTGTATGCATTGCTGCCGACGGCACTATAAAGATACGATACGATACGACACGACACGTTACGACCGACCATTCACTCAGAGAATATTTTTTTTCAATATATTTCAGTATGTTTACTAAGTTGCCTACAGAACTCCTTAAAATTGTTTTTTGGCTTTGTTGATATAATATTTTATTTATAAATAACGCCTTGAGTATAGATAAATTATATATACGTATATATGTGAAATATGAGAAATCACGTGAAGTATAAATGGTCGGCTAAATCGATTTACAACGATTTAAGATAATTTGGGATTCGAGATGCCTTTGGAACTAGGGTCCAATTTAGCTTTTTTTTTAAATATTTATTTTGTTATTTTGATAGAATATGTATCTTAACAATCATCCGATTCGAAATATTAACTACAATGTTTTGATAATGAATTCTTCAGAATAAGTAGAAAAAATCTACTAGGTGTCAGTATCTGGGCATCGAATTTCAACCAGGAGGTGGGTTTCATCGTTTTTCTCACAGGCTTTAACCTAACCGTTATAGTTCACGAAAATGATAAGAATGTAAAATAATAATAAACCGACATTGGGGAAAATTATACGATAGCAATAGCCGTCGGAGATATATTTACCAAGTACACACTGAAATGGAAAATAGGACAAGAAATTAATTTATTTCCACCCGCTACAATTCTATACAATACTGTGATATGCAATACTGCTAAAATGTTATACATTTTCGAAATTAAATGAAATTGAAATTGTAAATATTCTTCCAGCCTTCCTTTTTTTTCAGTCAACCTACCTTGTTATGATTCAGCAAAGTAAATTCGGAGAAAACCTATAAAATTCGTCTACCCGGGAAAAAAATCAAAAAAATGTAATATGAATGCTAATATGCACCCGGGACAACTTATCCTTTTTGCTTCCTTCCTTCTTACACAATTTTAATATGTATAACATGGTATATGTTAGTAATTGGTTTTGCACTCAATTCTTATCGAGTGTATTCAAAATGAAAATGTGTAACGATTGTAGAGGATCAATATCGATTTCAAATTATTTACGAAGCAGACTTGTTTTTGCCTGACGGGCACCTGGGTATACACTTTTGTATTAATAAAAGTAATATAAATTGACTATAGTCACGTGAGTAAGGGGCACTTAAAAAGTGAGGTGGTCAAAGGTGATCATTCGATATTATTATAAACATTAATTATTATAAATTAAAAACAGTCGTTCCATACAAAAATGACTGTAGTACAAATCAATTATTTCATTAGTTTAGTGTAAATTATGTGATGATACAAATTGTTTGGAGTTATTTTAAAATTCTTTGTAGTTTTAGATTCACTAATCATATCAAATGTTAATAAACCCTTAATTTTTTGTATTATTTATAATACAATTTTTCGAACCATAAAAGTTGAAAAACAAAAGTTTAAGTATAAAATATATTAAATTTGAAGCTGTCTTAAGGTAACTTATCAAAATATTATTTATCTGCCGTTACTAACAGTAAATTAATTTAGTTTTGATACTTCTTAGAAAATGAAAAATTAAGTTTGAAATTAATCCTATGGATTAGTGATTCTACACCACTGAGATGCGACACCAGACCGAGTAGCGAGCGACAGAGTGACAAGTGACAGAGGTTGCTTGTGTTAATGTATCCTAGACTGTTTTGTTTTCAGTTCAAAACCGGAAACTGATAAATTGATTTAGGTATGGTTAAGAAAGTGTGTTATTGCGACGGACAATATATTTTTCATCTTCCTGGGACTGTGACAATACGGTAGTAGTTGGTTTTTATTTCTTCCGTTGACAGAGAATTATAATAATTACCACGTGATAAGCTGTACCTACTTTCGGTAGACAAGCATTAATATCAAAATAGATATAGAATGGGGATTTAAGGCTAAGAGTTTATTTAATGAACTTCATGGCGTTGTTCAGCATTTGTCACTACTTTTGATATTATAACGAAATTAATTAAATTAATTTAATAGGTGAATAAGATTGTAGAAGGAGATATTTTGTTGTGATAATCTAAACCGGTGCGTTATGTTTTGTTTATAGATTCGTATCATGGGTTTGGTCATCCGAATAATCGGATATTGACCGAAACTCGGGTTCGTTGGAAATCAAAAAAACAATAGATTTTTTTGAAACAATTAAACCCAGCGGGAGTAACGAAACTGCAATATTTTGTGTGGATTTAGCGAGAGAAAAGGAAGTTCGTTATTGTTTTACATTGTAAATGAGGTTTATGTGATTTTAATGTAGCAGCATTAGAATGTTGTTTCATCTGCATGCGTTGTTCGAACATGATTGGTGTTATCACGAAATAACGCCGATAACGTGATCCAACCAAGAACGGGCTATCGCGGGGACTGATTGACTTATTGATTGACCATAGCCATGAATTTACATAAAATGTTACATTACATTATACATTGAAATACCAGTAAATATTTGACTAGTTTATGTTTTATAAAATTAATTTGTAATCGAAAAGTATAAGTATAATGACGGTATATTAATAAATATCCATCAATCGAATTACTCTAAACGGATTTATAGATTTAATACGACTGTAAGTCTTATTTCGTAATTGAATAAATCAAATAAACAGTACAAGGCAAATGGCCAATCAGCAAATTTTGAATAATAGGCGACCATTATACAACCGCATCTAGTACAATGTCTATAACACGAACTACGGTTATGTGTTCGTGCTGCAATGAATATTTGGTTGCCTACAACACTAGTATTGCCGATTCCGTTTTTCTGTCCCATACCGATTGTTGAATACTACTTAAGAGATAATAGTTGTGTAATATTATTGTTTCTAAGTGTTTAAAGTTTAGACAAGTGGAGTGAAGTATAAAAAATATTTTAAAATATCTAATATTCAATTTGTAAGCTTTGGAATTGAAAACCTGAAATTGAATAATTTGGATGAGTATTTAATGCAATTAAGAAAAAAAAAAATCACTAATTAGTGTACCGAAAATCAATTTTTCCGTTATTCAAACTCTAAATAAACGCTTTTAAAAAACAAATTGTCTATCAATTTTTTCTTCTCATTTAATGTGAATTGTGTTGCTGTCGAGCTAACCTTGCAGTAGATTTACAAGTCATATCATGGTTGCCTAACGTATGTAAAAGTAAAAACGGCACTTTCTCGAAGGAATTCAACATTTTTTTGTTTTTTTTTTTTTTTTTTTTTTTTGTAGCCATATTTAGACTTTACTTACGCTGGAAGAAGTTGCAGAGCTATCATAAATAAAAATTCTTTAAAATATTTTCTACAAA